ATACTTCTCGACGAAGCATCGGTGCGCAACACGAAAGGTTCTGATAATTCTGGGGCTTTTAAGATGGGCTGGCTGGACAGTAGTCCTTTTAGTTTGTCAAAAGACGCCTGTTCGCTCTTCCCCCAATGCACCTTGTTTGGTGCTCTTTTACGTGTCAACTCCGTAAGTGGGTGAGAGATTTCAGAGTACTGGGGTACGAAATCCCTATAGTAGCCCGTAAGGCCAAGGAAAGATCGCACTTCCTTTTTTGTTTCGGGTCGATTGGTAGCTTGAACTTTCTCCAGGGTCTCGACTTGAGGGCGCAGGAGACCATGCACAACGATGTGGCCAAGAAATTTGACAGATGCGAAACCAATTTCGCTCTTTGTGGGACGGATCGTTAAACCCGCCTGCTTCACGCGCTGGAAGAACAACTCCAGAGTCGATAAATGCTCTTCCCAGCACTCCGTGGCGATGAGGACATCATCAAAGTAGTGGTAGATGTTCGAGACCCCCTCGACCACTTTTCTCATAAGCCGGGTGAATACAGCTGGTGCTGTTTTGATGCCAAAGGGCATAAATCGAAACTGATAAAATCCAGACGTGGAAGAAAAAGCTGTCATGTGCTTTAAATCTTCGTGCATCGGAACCTGCCAGTATCCTTTAGAGAAGTCAAACTTCGAGAAGTACCGGCTTTTTCCCAACTTTGCAAACATCATGTCCACTCTTGGGATAGGTTCACTGTCGGGAATCAGGACCTTGTTAAGTTGTCTGAAGTCAATGCAGAGTCGCATTGTCCCGTCTTTTTTCTTTACCATCACGATGGGTGCTTGATAGGGTGACTCGGAGGGCTCAATGATGCCCCGTTGTAGCATTTCTTTTACTTCCTCCTGTACCGTGTCTTGTATGGAGAATGGTATGGGGTACTGATGGACTTGAATAGGAGTGTCGGTCGTGACTTTCAACTTGCACTCTAACAGGTGGGTCCTCCCTGGGACATCTGACAGACTTTCCTGGTACGTTGTCAGGAGTCTGGAAACTTGTGCTCGTTGATCGGCAGTCAGCTCCCTTGATATTTTCACGTCTCGATAAGTTTCGTTTTGTTGCAGTGTTGCACACGGGAGGTCTTCTTCCTCAACATTCCCATCATGGAATGCGACCGAAGCTCGTTGAGGTGTCTGATCAACGTTTGTCCTCTCTTCGTACTTTTTCAGCATGTTGATGTGGAACAAGCTGGTTCTTGTTCCAAGGTCGATGACGTAGTCAACGTCATTTCGTCTCTCTAAGACAGTGAAGGGGCCTTTCCAGGTCAGGATCAGCTTGGTGTCAGATGGCAAAAGGAGCAGGACCCTGTCTCCAACAGTGAGCTGGCGCCTCCTTGTCTTCTTGTCATAATAGGTTTTCTGTGTCATCTTCGCTTTCTTGAGCTGCTCTTGGGCTATCCGGCACGTGTCGTCTAAGCGCTTCCGAAGCTCGACCATGTAGCCGTACGAAGTCTTTGTCTCGTCGTCGATACTCTCCCCTGACCAGAACTCTTTTAATATGGCCATGGGTCCTCGGACGTATCTACCGTACAGTAGGTCAAAAGGTGCGAACCCGAGGGAGGTCTGTGGCACTTCGCGATATGCAAATAACAGTGGTGCCAAGTATCTGTCCCAGCTCTTGGGGCTTTCCTGACACATTCGTCGGATCATTTGTTTCAGCGTGCCGTTAAAACGTTCCACAAGGCCGTTTGCCATAGGATGGTACGGCGTGGTTGGCATATGTTTAAGCGAAAGCAACCGGCTGAACTCCCTCATGAGCCCAGACATGAACGATCTGCCGCGATCGCTAATGATTTCTCTGGGAAATCCCACACGTGAAAACATCTCTAGTAAAGCCTCGGCGACTTTCTCCGTTTCAATGCTTGGCAACGCAACCGCATCAGGGTAGCGCGTCGCGAAGTCAACCATGGTGAGTACATAGCGGTTTCCCTTCTCAGATGTTGGAAATAGGGGTCCCACAATGTCGATGGCGACCCGCTGGAATGGTGTTTCGATGACTGGCATGTTGCCCAAAGGTACGCGGCCTACTAGGTGCTTTGGGACAGTTCTCTGGCAGGTGTCGCACGACTTTACAAATCGAGTAACGTCTCCTTGAACTCCTGGCCAGTAGAACTCCTCGAGGATTCTATCTGTCGTGCGTTTAATTCCCTGGTGTCCAGCGAGAATTCCCTCGTGTGCCATTTTCAGCACGAAGTCCCGGAGATCGCTTGGAACCACGAGCTGCTCCATCTCCTTCTTTGATGGCAATTTGTACCGTCGAAACAAAATTCCGTTGATCAGTGTGAACTCAATGTCAGCTGATCTTGTAGCAACTTTGTTCCCAACCGCTTCAAAACATCTTTGGAGAGTACTCTCTTCCCTCTGCTTGGCGCTCAGCTCCGTCGAGTTGATGGCCAATGGATTCACTACCGCCACAGGTAATTGACCAGAGTTTCGGGAGGCCAGCTTAGCTGCGGCCCCGGCCTGTGACTCGTTTGGCTCTGTGGCAGCCGATGAAAGGCCCGTCTCAATGAGAACTGGTTCAGTTATTGACCTGCCACAGTCGCTTGCCTCAATAACTGGAGCTGTCCCCCCTCCTTGAAGAGGCGTGTCTTGCTGAATACTCCATATAACGCTAGGATCGGAGGCATCCCGCACACCATCCACGTTTCCTAAAACGACATCATAGAGAGGGTTTTCCATACAGGTCGCTGTCACCTTGCCTTGGTAATAGGGGGAATCAATGTCAACCACCGCTTCAGGCAGACACAATTCTGTCCGGTCAAGCAGGAAGATAACGCGGTTTCGTCCTGTAAGTTTGACGTCAGGAACCAGGGACCGCTTGACTATGACCGAGTTACACCCAGAATCTCGCAGGACGGTGACCTGATGACCCTCGAGTAGTCCTGTTGCCGTGGGCATGCCGTCTGCTTGAACGTCAGTTCCCGTTTTGTCCTCTTCAGCTTTCCCAGCAAGGCGTTCGGATGGACGACTTCCAGATCCGTAGACGTTACGATCTTTCCGACGTGTCAGAGAACATGACGCCTGTCCACCACCGTCTGTCTTCTTCGGACAAGCCTCAGCTTTATGCCCGTTTTTGCGACATTTCCAGCAGAAATTTGTCTTCTGATCGGGTCCTCTTGATTTGGCCCAACAGTCTGCTGCCCGATGGCCTTGTTTATTGCAAAGGAAGCACTGCAGATTTCTCTTTGCACCTTGAGGATCAGACATCCTAACTTGCCCTGTCGGCTTGTCAGTCTCTTCTTTCTTTTTGCCGAGATTGACCAACCCCTGGGCCTCGAGGTAGTGGTCTGCAGTTTCTGCTAGCTTGTCGAGCCCTTGGCAGCCCCTTTCCTTTATAAAAATTGCTAGTTTCTCGTGGCATTTGTTCAGAAATTCTTCGCAGACAATTTTGTCCCGAAGTGCGTCATAAGTGCGCTCCGTCCTTGCCATCTCCTGCCAGTGGTCAAAATAACCTAATAGACGACCAGAAAATTGTCTTCCCGTTTCGGAGTTCTCTGGTTTCGCCTCTCTGAACTTGACACGATATCCTTCCTCAGTATAGCGAAATCGTTGGAGAAGAGTCTGCTTCAGTTTAGCATAGTCCATGGCATCGTCGGCAGCCATGCGTCCTATTACACTTAACGCTTCTCCTTTCAAACATAGGCTCAAGGACAAGGCCCATTTTTCCGGAGGCCATTCTTGACTTGTTGCCACCCGCTCAAAACGTTGGATGTATGCATCCAATTCATCACTCCTTTCGTTAAAGGGGGGTATAAGTTTATGTGGACTCCGATACCCCTGCGCGACACTAGGAGACGTACCCTGATCAGATGCATCTGGAACCCGAGTGATCGATCCTCCTTGCTGCTCTTGTAACCGCAACTTCAGCTCTAGCACAGTGCGTTCTGCTTCTAAACGAGCACTCGTTTGAGCTTCTACTTCTCGAGCCCTTTCTCGCTCTGTTAGACGCTCCTCTCTTTCGCGTGCGCGTTCTTCGTCTATCCATTGCTTTAGCGAAGCCCCTGAGAAACCCAATTCTTTACCAATTACCGTTAACTTCTCAAGATTCATTCTCAACCGACGCGGACACTAGCGAGGTGGAGCTCTTTGAGGTGGAAATTAAGAGCAGTCCTGTCGCGGACGCCAGAAGTGTAGTGGACTATTTCACTCTCGCAGGTATGCGACGCGAAGAGAAAGGATATCGAGACCAGTTTGATAGAAAGAAAAATAAACTTTAGATTTCGACAGGTAATACAATGATTAAAACGAAAAGCACAAGATATAAGCGCGAATGACATAAGTACAAAAAGGAAAGGGAAAAAAAAAAAGAAACGATATACTAATGGAAGTCTTACAGTTCACAGATGCGGCGAGCTTCATCAGAGTTCATTTCCTCGTTGCTGGTGCAGCGGCGGAATCCGGGTTTGGTTGTGCCGTCTTGGCGGAACGAGGTCTTGCGTAAAGCTGCAAGACTTCGACGTGGGGTGAAGACCTTGCGTATAGCTGCAAGCCTTCGCCCCCGTGAGCTTGATGATTGCCTTGTCCGTCCCGAGAACGTTTTTTACTTCGTCTTCCTCTCTCGTCTCGGTCTTTTTTCTCGTGCCAACTGCCTGCTCTTGTCTCTTTCTTTTCTTCATTTTCTTGCATCCACCTTGTTGACCCCGAAATCACCACAATCACTCTAAGCCCCTCTACCTCGTTGAAAGAGACCAAGCGTCACGAGCAGAAATGTCGGCATCGTCGAATCAACGACGAACAAACGGGCACTGACGGCCGCTAGGGTAGCACTCGTTAGAAAACAGGAATATTTTTGTGTCGCACAATGCACCCGGGTTGCACCACAGCCTCCGTCATTCCCGCGCAATATAATTCCAATCGGTCGCCTATTTGACACGAAAGACGGCGAGGTCGTGAGGCAGATCGGGGCAAGGATATCTCATATAACGTAGGTAATAATAAAATGTTGAAATGCAGAAGATGGGAAAATACACTTACTTTAGAAAAGTTATCCTTCCACCTTTTTTGGCAACTTCCCATGTCTTGCTGATGCCACCAATGTGAGACATTCCCTGGAATGAATTAACACAGTATCCTTTCACGTGCCTTATGGAATGAGCACATATTTATTATACGATTTCCTTGGGCAAATAAATGGGATTGGGACCGTACTGTCATAACGGCTTCCAAAGAAAGTCTTTAAAATGAAAGACTCAAAAGTTTACGTAGTACTCTACAATCTATATATATATTGTGAGGGCGCCTATGCGTAGCACTGCCCACGGACATCGTCGTCGTCACTTTTGGCTCTGTGTGGGCTGATCGGCATCGTCAGCTGATTAGTGGGTCGGTTAGATGGTCGGGTCGGTCAGATAACAGTTTTTTATCAGAGTCTGATAGCTATGGAACGTTTCAAAAAAGGTGCCACCAGTCAGCTTACGATGCCGATCGGCCCACACACAGCCAAAAGTGACGACGACGATGTCCGTGGGCAGTGCTACGCATAGTCGCCCTCACAGTGTGTATATATATATTATATACATATATATATGTATATATATATATATATATATCAATATACCACGCGCCGCACGCGCACGCCTTCCCGTATAAAAGTATCTTGGTAAATAACCAAAATAAAGCTTTGACGAACGCGCGTGCAAGACGCCATTTGTTTCAGGCTTTTGCTCTAGAACAGGTACTGCTACAGACGCCGGCACGTGCGGCGCGAGGGTGCGGTGCGACGCGTGGGCGCGGTGAGGGCGTAGAGTTTTTGGTTACGCACACGAATAATCCACGGAACCCTGGCCATAAACAGCTTCGCTGTAAAAAAGGCGGTGGCATAACGACGGAGTTTTCGCTGCCGACGGATTTCGTCTGCGTGTCGTCTGCTTTCTTTCGCTGGTCGGCTTCACCTTCGGACGCTGCTCCCAACGCCATGTCTCAATACGTGAGCCAAAGGCGCCCCGCCGCTCGACTCGGTCGTCTGCGGCGCCTTCCGCCATCGACCCTGGCAAAATTTTTTAGCCCTGTATTTTTGCAAAAAGGTAGCCACGCTTTGTAATTTTACTAGAAAATACTGACCTGTGAAACACACCTTTGAAGAACAGTTTGGATGGATTGTTTCGGCAGGCGTCAATTTTTACGGTCCATTTTAGACAACGTTACTAAACCACTCAGTTGGGAAACTGCCATAGAGACTGCTCTGAAAAAGTGGCCCCGATCTGTCCTCGAGAACCGAGCCAATGGCGAACACAACGCCGCCATTTCTCCCGCAGCGGCCACTCGAGGAACTGTACGTGACGTCTATTTTGGATTTGATCGGCCATTTTGGCGCCGATACAGATACAGCGGAAGAGTGCCACCCCCGTCTCCCCAGCGGACGCACCGTGTCTGTCTACGGAAGTTAAAATGCACCTAGGTCGGGACGCGCTACCTGAAAGCACCGCTGAGGCATGGTTGTATAAAAACAATATTAATTGTGCCGCAAAACCTTGCCAACTAAAGATTTAAAAAAACATCACGCGCCCTTCATTTTGTTCTAAACTCCAACAAATTTCATACAAAAAGAGTCTTTCCCGTTTGTTTTTACGCAAAAACAGGCTTTCTAAAAGCTCAAGGTGACCACAGTACAGACAAATGATAAAGAGTGGCGCTGCTGTCGTATTTAGCTCGCTCTCGGTGGACGGCAGCGGCCCAGGTTTGCACGGCGAGTTTCCCAACTGAGTGTATTAGTAACGTTGATTTTAGGCCGAGCCATGTATATATATATATATATACATGTATATATATATATATACATATATATATATATATATATATATATATACATATATATGTATATATATATATACATATATATGTATATATATATATATATACATATATATATATATATATATATAATATATATATATATATATATATATATATATATATATATATATATATATGTCGTTTATTTCACATGTCTTTTACTTTTATTTTTCCTGACGTCACGTCCTTTTCGTCTCATTGGCCGCTTACTGCTTTGCGCAGTCTGACGCCCTCACATGTATGCCATCTCCTGACGAAGCCGAGCCTCTTGGCGAAACTGTCGTAATACGTACAATAAACTCCTAGCCTAGCAGCTCCGTAAGTACGGATCTCTGACTTATTATATTTTCCAGGTCCATTGTTCTCAAACTACTCTGGCTCACCTATATATATATATATATACATATATATATACTTCGAAGAGATTTATTACAAAACATTCGTAAAAGGTGCACTCATACGCTTTGTGCAGGTGAGTTATACGGCCACGGGGTATTTTGTGGGTGGCTAATCTCTGTCACAAGTTGGATAATTAACTAAACGTCCCTTAATTTATTATTTTATTGCCACTGTCAGCTTTGCGCAGCCAGCGCAAAGCTATCACACTCTAAGAAAAAATGGAGGAAAAAAGTAGCAACGGCGCGTCTTCCTCCCTTCTACCGACGCGCCCCCAAGCGGACACGAGAAAAGGGGAGGAACGAAACGTTTTTCTCCTTCTCCAGGCAGACGGGAGAAAGCTTTCGCCCTCCCGACTCATCTTCTTTCGGTTTCGTTTTTCGAGCAGGTCGCGCACGTTGTTTAATAAATAGCTGTTGAGTTGATTGAGCTTCAGCGGCAGCAAAGGCCGCCTGTAATTCCGTCTTCTAGTCTAAACGTGCAGAACATTTCGGTTGCATTGACGTTTTTATCAATAATTTTATCAAACGAGCAAACGAAGCCGCTAGAAACAGCGAAGTTCCGGAGCAGTGCCAGCAGCGCCACGTACAGTGGGGGATGGCCGTCTCCGGATTGCGGGACTCGCGCGGCACGGGACTACAGTCACTACAGTAGAAACCACGCGGAACTGTGTCGACGTTTTCGACGTTATGACAACCGCAGAAACTGCGTCGAAGACAGGCAGGTTTTGCTGCCGGCAGCCTGGGTGCCTTCCGTCCTGAATTCGGTTCTGTTTTCCGAT